AGGCGGCCGTTGTTCCGCTACAATATCGAATTACGGATATTATATAATTTTACGAAACACAGGCTCGATGCTCTCGGTATATCCGCCCGCCGCGGGGCAGTCAATTGCGCCCGTTAATTGAATCACTGCGCGTGTTCGGAACGACGATTGATCGATTCAACAACGCTTTATGCCGATACCGCCGGTGTCGGTGGCATTCATTTTGTCTGGATTTGCTATTAACGATTTTGCCAACTTTATTAGTACGCGAGAGAAAGATATATATATATATATATATATATATATATATATATATATATATATATATATTTATTATATGATATATATACTGGGTGTTCCAAAAATGTCTCGAAATCCGAAAGTGGCGGGTTCCTCGGGTCGTTCGAAGCAACTTTTTCCTTTAGAAAAATGTTCTCCGAGGCACCGTTAACGAGTTATCAACGAACAAACAGTGACCAATGAGAGGCGAGCGCGGCTGGCGCGAGGCGGCCGTACTCGATTCTTGCCAATGCTGCGTTCAATTACCTAACGGCGTTCACGCGCTTCAACTTTCGCTCGGTATTTCTATTTCATTCGCTCCCGCTCTCTCGTCTCGTTTCCTAATTAATTTACGGCTCCCCTTCGCTCCTCGCGTTTTTCATCGTCGCGACGCGACGCGGCGCTGCGCTCCTTCTCTGCGATCATTTCCGACAGTGTCGCTCATTTTTAGCAGAATCAGGATTCCCGCAAAGTCAATTTAATTGATCGAAGCGAAAATATAAAACTGAAATTTTTAACAATATTTTAACAGTGACATTTGCTTTGTGTCCGACGAGTGTACTCGTCATCGCTCGGAATTGTTGTACAGGATGTCCGAAAAGTTACTCGAGATTGGGAAACAGGGGTTCCCGAGGTCGTTTCGAGCAACTTTTACCTTTACAAAAATTTTCTACGAGACGCCGTTTGCGAGTTATTAACGAAAAACCGTGCACCAATGAGAGGCGAGCACGCTGAGAGGCGGCTGGCGCGAGGCGACCGAGCCAATGAGCGGAACTGGGCTCCATGCGCCGCCAACCGCCACTCAGCGAGCTCGCTTCTCATTGGTGCACCGTTTTTCGTTAATAACTCGCAAACGGCGTCTCGTAGAACATTTTTGCAAAGGAAAAAGTTGCTTCGAATGATCCGAGGAACCCGCCGTTTCCGGTTTGCGACACATTTTTGGGACATTCTCTATACCCATATATCATTGTCCGGCCTCGTTCGCTGCGATAAATTTTAACTGTCCACTTTTAGTCGAAAACGCGTGAACGATCGAAAGATAACGAGCTTGTCATCCATTCTTTTCGCGCGACACATCGTTTATCGCTCGCGCGTATTTGCAACTCGCCGTTTCTATTTTTCCTTCTGTCAGAGTTGCGTCATTCTCTACCAAAAAAAAAAAAAAAAAATAGAAAAGTTCTTTGCCCGCTTTAGCGTCAACGATCAACGTTCTCCGGAGAAAAACATTTACTATATCGAAGATTTTAAAGAAGAGAGAGAGCTTGAAATATTTATGGACACACTTTCGTAGCGATCGCGCTGAAAAAATCTGTTCTTCTCTTCGCTTCCGGCGAATGAACGACCCCGAAGCTCTCCACGTGCTTTCCACGTTGAAGTTGTTTCAATGCAGAAAAATTCGGCCAACGATGCAAATGGGTTCATTGGATTATGTCAAGGTAGTACTCCCCCCCCCCCTTCTACGTCACGGAATACTATAACACGGTTTCGCTCTAACACGATAGGATAAATTGCGGGCATCCTCGTATAGCACTGCAACATATATAACACTGTTTCGCTCTAACGCGATAAGAAAATAGCGAACACCTTCGCACGACACCGTGCTTCCACAGCGCTGGATAGCATGATTTTTGTTTCATATATTTGAAAACTGAATTACCTTGAAATATATAAATTAATATAAATTGAATTAAATAAGTATATAAATTAATAATAAAATAAATATAATATATAATAATAAAATATAATGTACAGTAATATATAATAATATATAATGAATATAAATAAGAGTATATAAAGAGTATATAAATAACCCTTTGACGAGTATAGTACCGTTCGATAGTCGATCAAGAAAAACTCGTCCGTGCAAAATTTCAGCCCTCTAACTTGTCCACGAGGGTAGTTACAGGGTTAAATAGATTGCGCGCTTTTCCGCCCATTTCCCCCCTTCGGTGGCTTTCTAAAATTTTGACAAAAATGTGGCTTATTTTGGACATCGAGCTTCATATTACAGAATTTTTTCAGATTTTTCGTGTGCAAGCTGTGTTCATAGAAAATGGAAAACCCCCCAAAAATTCGGAGAATTGAAGATTTCTCGAAAACCAAAATAGAGGTTATTTTTACATTAATTCCCTGATAAGGTATTATCGTAATCAGTGCGCTGATTTTTCTCAGATTTTTCCTCCTGCTGCGCCATTGTCGAAAAAAATGAAAACCGAATTTGTCGTCGAAGTTACTACTCGTTGGATTTACCGCAAGTACAGGTTATTATATTATTAGAATTAGGGGGAATTTGCTGCGCTTCGATTTCGTGGAAATGCTTGGGATCGCTGTACCGCGGTGAACGCGTTGAAGCGCGCGTCGCTGCGACGAGCTTTGCTATCGCGAATTGCGATCCGATACCGCCGAGCCCGCGTCCAAACTACTTAGGATAGGCGCCAAGATCCGCAATGCCAACAGGCATGTATCTGCTCGTTGGCAATGCCGGGGATCTTTGCTCGCACGTTCCGCGATGCATCGGATACCTCTCGGCTCTCGACCCGACGTGTCGCGTCGCGTCGTCTCGACCAATGCACCCTGCGATCGCGATTGCATCGCGCCGATAAGTCCTCGAGACAAAAGCGTGGAAAGTCGAGCTCGAAAGCTCTGGTTGCGCGGGTCGCGGCAGAAGCGGTCGAAATAAATCTGAACGACTCGAAATATCCAGCGGAAACGTTCCAAGTTCGAGTAACCGCGATGCACTTGCTCGGCACCAGCGAACAACCTTCGCTTTTCGTCTAACTCGGTTAAGCCACTTTTATCTCTGCTTCGCCCCGTCTAATTCCATTCGTCATCCTCTTATCTTGTCAACCGGGCTGCACACACTCGGTCGCTGACTAGAGGATTGTACCTTGCGTCCCGATAGCGAATTATCTGCAACAACAACTTGCATTAACATTCGGACACCGTTTCCCAGCGGAATGACATTTTCCAAATCGAACGAAATTTGTCGAAACTTTTTGGAGACCACGGAGAAACTATAGTTCACTGTACAATGATCAAAACACTCTTTTGTCATTTCGCTGTTACACGGAACAGCAATATATTTTAAACTCACGTTTTTTAACTTTCTTATCTGACAATGTGAGCTTGTAACGAAAATTTTAAAAAAATATGCAGGATTTGTATATTATTTGATATACGAGACCGGAGAATTTGAAGATACTAAAGTTACTGTCGCATCGTGGTTTTTTTCTATATAATACAAATTGTCTGCGTTCATTGTAAGAGATACGAGTTAAATAAAAAGTAATCCGTTTATCGTTGTTCTGTGCTTCCTCTGCTCATTTTCGTCACGAACGCATAAAATCCTGATTTCCGTCATTATCGCTACCTATTGTGAAAATTCGATAATATTTAAAAATAGTTTCCTACGCGTTCCCCGAAAAATATCCAAAGCTCATCTCTAACCGTTAATTAGGCTAATTAACTACATTAGCGATATTACATTACCTTACAATTACATTACAATTACATTACAATTACATGACAATTACATGACAATTACATCACAATTACATCACAATTACATCACAATTACATCACAATTACATCACAATTACATCACAATTACATCACAATTACATCACAATTACATCACAATTACATCACAATTACATCACAATTACATCACAATTACATCACAATTACATCACAATTACATTACAATTACATTACAATTACAATTACATTATGTTACATCACATTACAATTACAATTACATTACATTACAATTACATTACGTTGCAGTTACAATTATAATTACATTACATTACAATTACATTACGTTGCAGTTACAATTACAATTACATTTACATTATATTACATTTACATTACATTACATTACATCTGTCTCTTATACACATCTAGATGTGTATAAGAGACAGATGTAATGTAATGTAATGTAAATGTAATATAATGTAAATGTAATGTAATGTAATGTAATGCTGTCTCTTATACACATCTAGATGTGTATAAGAGACAGATGTAATGTAATGTAATGTAAATGTAATATAATGTAAATGTAATGTAATGTAATGTAATGCTGTCTCTTATACACATCTAGATGTGTATAAGAGACAGATGTAATGTAATGTAATGTAAATGTAATATAATGTAAATGTAATGTAATGTAATGTAATGCTGTCTCTTATACACATCTAGATGTGTATAAGAGACAGACATTACATTTACATTATATTACATTTACATTACATTACATTACATTACATTAATTACATTTACATTACATTACATCTACATTACATTACATTTACATTACATTACATTTACATTACATTACATTACATCTACATTACATTTACATATTACATGATATTAAATTTATCTTTATATATATACATACACAAAATCCGCGACCTACTTATTATTAAAAAAAATTGGCACGCGCCGCACGGATCGGGTTATCGTCGCATCGCATTTGGAATTCCATTCGGAGTGACACGCGGAAACGACGTGTCCCGGAGCAGGGGGCCTCTCGCGTTCTCCCTGGAGTTCGAGGGAAAAGAAATCAAAGAGACCTTTTCCGTGTCCGCGCGCCAAAAATAAACAATGGCGTGGTCCCATTGGTGAATCGGGTACAAGGAACAGCTTGATAAGGACACGGGGAGTGTGATCGCGATAGCGGAGATAGCGGTCGATAACCAGGCACCGGCCGAAAATATATAACAAGACGAAGCCGCGACTAGCCGCGAACTTTTCTCCCGAGAACACGTGACGACGGTTATGGCCAAGTTCCGCGGCGGCTCGCTGATCGTCCTGGCGGTGATCTGCATCGGTGCAGAGTGCGTCGACAAGTTGCCGGGCAAAGAATGGTGGGAAAACGCGCTCGTCTATCAAATATGGCCCAGGGGGTTCCAGGACAGCGACGGCGACGGAGAGGGAGACCTCAAGGGTACGTTTCAGTGCGCGAAATTTTACGGAATTTGCGGAATTTTCGAATCCGCGGTGGCTCGCGAAACTGATCGCCGGACTGCGGATTTTTCTTGCATTTAAGGTAGTAGAAAGACTTTTTTAAAATTTTAAAAAATGTCCATGTATTATTTTTAATATACTATAATATATATATTATTTTATATATATTTATTATATTATTATATTTATTATATATATACATATATACTATATAATTTTTAATATACTTCTTGCAACTGATCTTTGCAAACAATCTTTAATTTTCATAAAAATCTGCAGTGTCTATTGAACGGAATAACTTTCTCAAATTGGACCGAATCAGTCGTTCCTTTTTTTTCTTTCTTTTTGGAGATGTTAGAAAGACGGTTTACTAGACAGTGTCTACAAAATTTTATTTAATAATTTCAATTAGTTGGAGTGGCGTTAAGATTAAAATAAAACACGTTCTTTTTCTTCAGAGCCTGGAACGATTATTGAAGAAATGTGTTTTGTGGATCTCGATAACTTATATACCGTGAAAAACTGTTGTTTTAACTGCAAAACGCATTTTTTTAATGTTTGTTGCAGGCTCGGATAAGAAAGTTGGGAGGACATAATTTTTTTTTTTAATTTTTTGTATTATCCCAAACGGATGCAATCTTTGAAAACAATTTTTCAGCTATTGCCTAGTTATAACTAACTAACTAATTAATTAATTAATTAATTAACTAATCCCTCTAACATCTTTAAAAAATACAAGCGATTCGGTTCGATTTGAAAAAAGTTATTCAGTGCTAAATTGTGTGCGATCGGTCTCGTGAGTCACTGTGTGGGCGTACCTCGACGTCATTAGATTACTGATTGAAACATTCGTGTACAGAAGACACCTCATCGACATCTTTCTAGACACCTCATTGTTACCGAAGATCATAATAAATGCTAAAAGTGCGTTTCTAATAATCTTTGGTAAACCTTAATTCGCTAAATTACGTCATTATCGTTTATATAAGATCACAGAGAAGATATCTCGCGACATAAGGCCGCTTGTGCAGTGCCATGGACGTGTTATCCTGCGACACAATACCATTCGCGCGGTGCCATGGACGTATTGTATCGCGACATAACGCCGCTTGTGCGGTGCCATGGATGTGTTATTCCGCGACATAACGCCGCTTGTGCGGTGCCACGGACGCGTTAACCCGCGACATAACGCCGCTTGTGCAGTGCCACGGACGAGTAAACACACTTTAATTCGAAGAAAACTTGGCTCTATTGCCACAACATAAAAGCAAGCTAAGTGGCCCCGGACGGAGCAAGAACGCAAGCGCGTGTTTACTCGTCTGCTGCACCGCACGAACGGTATTGCATCGCGGGATAACGCGTCCGTGGCACCGCACAAGCGGTATCACGTCGCGAGATGTCTCGATTGCGATCTCAGACGTACAGTATCGGATGTCGCGACATAACACGTCCATGGGAGCGAAGCGATTAATACGTTAACACCGAATCTACCATACCGATCGTATATACGGTTTCGCATCTTTCATCGTAAGATTTCATTTTACAGGAAAAGAAATTGAACAGATTTCTTAATTCGAGCATGCATTGTATTAAAAATGACGAAGTGCTCAAATAAATTCAGTCTTGTCGTTCTTATAGAGTAACCCACGTTAATTACCAGCTTTATTTCTCTATCTTTCAATAAGTTGAAAATTTATTTTTTGAATTTAGTATAGTTTGTAATAGAGTAAAGATTGTAATAGTAAATTAAAAAATAATACAATTGAACTTTACTAGGACCTTTAGAATACGGAAGAGTTCGGTTAGCACCCACTATGAACAATTTCAACTTTCTAGTTTGTGTTTAATTAATTAAATTACGTTGATTTTTTTGTGGGCGTTTCCGAAGTCAATTATTTAAATAAATAACGACGAAAGGAATCGAGAAAACGGTAGAGCAATTTTCTTTATCGACATACATAAAGCTAACATCAGTTTCTCCGAACGACCGCGCCCAAATACACGCTTTCCTAAATTTCAGCAGCGTATCGACGCTCGAATAGAAAAAATCTTATTGTCCCGTATCTGTTCAAAACAAACAGCTTGCTCGGGTAGATCGAGCGCGGAATACATACGAGTACAATAAGATCCATTTTAATCTCTCTTGTATGCGCACATTAGCTTAAGGAACAATCAAAGTCCTTATTGACTTAGGCGTTTGTGCTAACAAAGATAGTGATAATCATTTAAAAGGAAACAATCACTGACGTCTAAGCTTCAGATAAGCTGGAAGCCGTGCGAGCCACGGTGAAATGTAAACTTAGGAAATCATTGTTGGCCACCTATTTCTGAATATCGACGGAGTCGCGAGGAGAGCATGGTTGCCGGCCGTGTCCAATTTATCGTCCGCCGGTGACGGTACCAACCGAATCTGCATTATCGTTCGACGTTCAAACTGGTTCCTGTAATTCAAACGAGAGTTCATTATACACAGAGCATGGTTTCGCATTCGAAAAATTAATGTAATCCTGTAGGTTAATAAGAAGTTTGGATATTTTGATTTAAAGAATTTGATAGCAATTGACGCTTCGAATAAGATTTCAGATTTGAATCACAATTAAAAGCAATTAATTCGTCGAAGTATTCCAAAGCGATTGAAACGTTCCACGAATTATCTAGGCTCTGAGCAATTAACTAGGCTCTTTCAATTGAAAGAGAATTGGTTAATTAACCAGTTAGCTGTGTTCGACGAGTATACTCGTCATGGAGAAATGGCAGTATTTTGTGTCACGACTATACTCGTCGTGAGTACAAAGTAGCGAGCATTGGCTATTTAAATTGTAATTCTAGTGAAAAGAAAAATATATTCTCAAATTTCAATTTAAATGTTTAAATTTTTGGTGTTACGCGCAGGCATCGTCAGCCGCCTAGACTATATCCAAGAGCTATGCGTCGACGCTATTTGGCTGAACCCCATCTACCCGTCCCCTATGCTCGACTCCGGATACGATGTCTCTAATTACAATGACGTAAATCCAGTATTTGGAAACCTGGGCGACTTCGATTTGCTCATCAGAGAAGCACACAATCGTGGTAAGTACTCCATTACTGCGCAAAATACAATAAGTTCTCCGTAATTGACGCTCAGATTGTGCACAAAAAAATGGACAATTCGGAAAGCAAAGATACGATTATTCGAGTCTTGCGAAAAGTCTTAAAATATTCATCCTGCACTTGTTCCCCTAAATATATAATAAAATAAATAATATAAATATATATAGTATATAATATTATCCCCTGGGATAATATTATATATTATAATATATATATTATATTATATTATATTATATATATATTATATATATATATCATATATCATATATAATAATATCCGGTTCTTCAGAGCAGGTTCCATGAAACGACTTAAATCGCATCGTTCCAGATATCAAAGTGATCCTGGATCTGGTGCCGAATCACTCCAGCAACCAGCACGACTGGTTCCTGATGTCGGTAAAGAAGATCGACCGCTACGCCGACTACTACATCTGGGCGGACGGCTCCGTCGATAAGAACGGGCTACGCGTGCCCCCGAATAATTGGGTACGCTGCTTTCGCGGGCGATTTCTCGAGACCACGATTCCGAGCGCTTTTTGTTTTCTTACTTTAGGTGAGCACTTACAGCGACAAGCCTGGATCCGCCTGGACCTGGAACGGCAGAAGACAACAATGGTATTACCATAAATTCCACGAATCTCAGCCGGACCTGAATCTGAGAAACGAAAACGTGCTGGGAGAAATGCTGGTGCGACAACAACAGTCTTCTTGCTATATTACGCTTTGCACAAGTCGATTAGGCGATTAGGGGATAAACATACGTACGTTAACTTCGTAGAATGTAATCGACTTCTGGCTGGGTAGAGGCATCGACGGCTTCCGGATCGGTGCTGCGTCGTATTTGATCGAGGACAAGGACCTGAGGGACGAGCCTGTCGTTGGGAACGGCGACTACACCGCCGGATCGACTGAAAACATAGCAATCACGTACAAATTCCGCAGCTACATCGACCATTGGATCAACGCCGAGAAGTCTACGCCGAAGTGCGCGCAGAAAGATTCTTATTATTTTATATAATAATATATTATTATACAATTATAATTATATATAATATAATATAATATAAAAAATATTATAATATATTAATATCAATAATAATAATATAATAATAATATAATATAATATAACAAATATAAATATATATATATATATTCTTATTATTGAATTTTGCATTTTCTTAACAGTGCCGAGTTTAATCGTGTTCGTTCGCAGATTGCTGATTTTGGAATCTTACGATTCCGACGAGAAATTGATAGCTCTTTACGGGAACGCTACCATCAACGGGGTTCCCCCTTTCAATTTCCGCTTTATCAGTTCCGTTCAGAACACCAGCAATGCTGAACAAGTCAAAGATGTTTTGGGAAGCTGGTTGAACATGATTCCCCGTAATGCGAGCACGAACTGGGTGGTAAGTAAAACCTGATACGGTGATTTCTCCCAGAAATGTTCGGTGGTGGACATTGAAATCGGCAGATCTGAGTTGTCATAGAAACTCGAGGCGGTCGGTAAAACAGGCAGTGGCCGGTGTACATTGATATAACCTCGATTCGAGGTTATGTTATTCGGAGGCCACATTCGAAGGCAATTTAGAAGCCACATGGCACGATTCGATGGTCACGTGACTACTATCTACCGCGTATCTTTTAGCTCCGCGGTTTTTCTTACCCGACTCGCATCCAAATAGACCACTTTTTTGTTGTGATCCGGGAATTCGCGTCGCGTGCCACATTGCACGCTTGACCAACTCCGTCGATCCTTAGCATCGACGTAGCAATAGATCACATAGGCGTAGGACCAACACCGGGAAATTCGCAGCACCCCGAAATTCGGCATTTCCGGGATAAATTACAGCTCAACTTTCAGAATATTTCCTGCTCCCTCCGACGATAGCTATCCGAACGATTCTTGCGTAGAACGATTCGGTACACTTTTCTAAATACAATGATATATATTTTTCATAGAATGTTTCGAAATGTTTCGATCATTTTCGAAGCAGCCGAATCGCCTTTAACGCACTAATTTAACCTTCTTCAATTTATTTGGAAAATTCGTGCGCTCGTGTTTAGAAAGGTCTACGGAATTATTCTGCGAAAAACATTTTCGCCAGACTGGTACAGTCGGCGCAGAAAAGATCGCGAGAATTGAGAATTTAACCTCGACGATGAAACCGCGTGAAATATTCCGAAATGAACGTCGCCTCTTGGACATCGAATCAGAGAATCGACAGACAGAGTCCTGGGAGAATTTTCGTCCTGTGTTTCTGTTACAGCTCTCGAATCACGACAATCGAAGAGCAGCCTCCAGAATTGGCCTGAACCGGGTCGACGGCCTCCACATGCTGAGCTTGTTGTTGCCCGGCCAGGCGTACACTTATTACGGCGAAGAGATCGCGATGTTGGACAGAAAAATCTCGTGGTACGAAACGATCGATCTGATGGGCACGTCGAGGACCAGAGAAACCTACGAGAAGTACTCCAGAGACCCGGCTAGAACGCCGATGCAATGGAACTCGAGCACGTCCGCGGGATTCTCGACGAGGAGGCGAACGTATCTTCCGGTTCACCAGGAATACCTAAACAGAAACGTGGAGGCGCAGCGTCGCGAGACGCAGAGCAATTTGAACGCTTACAAACAACTGTCGAAACTGAGGAAAGAACCGGTGTTCACCCACGGGGGCTACGAATTAGCTACCTCGAACAACGATCGCGTGTTTATCTTGAAAAGGTGCGTGAATTTCGGCTGCGTGCCTCCGAGAGACGACCAGCGGACAGAAGAGCGCTCGGGAGAAGTCGCTACGCAAGGAGTGGGGGCAGGCGACGCGTGCGCAGGGAGTCCGCGCAACGGCGTGAGGCGGCCACTGGCCGAACGACGGCGACGCAACGCGGAGCCTCAGTCGCCCGGTAGACGCTGCACGTCGCTGTGCGAGGCACCCGCGCATGTGTCGCTTGCCCCCACTCCTTGCGCAGTGACTTTTCCCGAGCATCCTGACAATTAGTGTCGATTACGATCGTTCGCAGGTTTCTGAAGGATTATCCTTCGTACATCGTCGTCGTCAACCTGGGACTGCTCCAAGAGAACGTCAACTTGACCGCGTTGTATCCGAGCATCGAAGACTCCATGGACGTCGTTGTTGCTTCCAGCAATGCTGTTTCGATCATGTTAGTATTTATGGTTTCAGGCACAGTGTAAGAGAAGTTTTCGTTAGCAATTTTCCTTGAGCTTGTGAACAAAAGTGGACAATTTGGGAAGAGGAGATACGATTATTTGATTCTTGCACCTCGCGAGGCTCGAATAATCGTATCTCCTCTTCCAAAATTGTCCATTTTTGTTTACGAACTAAAGGAACATCGGGGAGAATTTACTGTACATCTTTCAAAATGGAAGGAATTTTAATTCCATATAATTATGTTAACAGCCAGAAATTAAGGATACCTGAGATCATTTGAAGTAACTTTTTCCTCAGCGAAAATGTAATCTGCGGCTTTGTTTACGAGTTATTAAGGAAAAAGCAGTGACCAATGAGAGGCGAGCTCGGTGCTGGCGCGAGGCGGCCGAGCCAACGAGCGGTCGTAGCCCAGTTCCCTCTGTTTGGCTCGGCCGTCTAGCGCTAGGCGGGCTCGCCGAGCCAACGAGCGATCGAAGCCCAGTTCCGCTGATTGGCTCGGCCGCCACGCGCCAGCGCCTAGCTCGCCTCTCATTGGTCAGCGTTTTTCGTTAATAACTCGTAAACGAAGCGGCGGATCGCATTTTCGCGAAGGAAAAAGTTACTTCAAATAACCTCAGGAATCACCCCTTTCCTGGTTTTGACATAATTACAGATATTTTGCGCCAGTTCTCGTTGAGCGAAGTATAGATCTTTTTGGAAAACAAAGCGTATTGTTTGCGCAGACTTGGGTATTCACTTTTTGTGTTGGTATCTTCTACGTAACTTTGCATAATACTTCGACCACCGAGTATAATATTTGATCAAATGAAAAATTGAAAAGTTGAGTTATACGACATCGATTACATTTTCAACATTCTTACGATTCATTTCTCCTCCTCAAAATTCTGAAGATGTACAATATTAGCGGGCAAATTAATTTTCAAATCTGAGCAAGTAATTCCGTCGGCCGCGAATAGGTGGCGCCAGCAGTCCGAACATTAAAATTTGCCATTTCGGTTGCGTCGCGTTCGCTCGATTTTGTTCGATCCGCCTGGGATCGGAGAGTACAATTTTGGAATTCTGTTTCTTAGGAAAGCTATCCCCACGGATAAATTGGTGCTCAGTGCGAACGCTGCGTACGTTTTAAAGGTTCGTGAAAAGAGGGAGACGCCCGGTTCGTCGAGCACCGAGAGGCCAGGAAACGGTTCCCCTGTCAATTCGATGGCGATTATGCAGCTGACGTTGAGCACGCTCGTGGCGATAATGCTGTCCAAACATCAACGCTCGCAACTTTAACTGCCACGTGTTTCATCGTGAAAGTTTGAAAACAATTTTTATTGCGGCCTAAAGTAATTCGATCCTTGCGTCAGAATCTAGAAAGAGCCGCGAGATTATTCTAGCAAGTCTATTAAATCCTTAAATCAAATTCTTTCTATTAAAATAAATTCGTTTGGTTTCCTGCGAATTCAACGGGCACCGATTCTGCAGTTAAATAAATTGTTTAAATTTATTGCAATAATTATCTAGTATGTACTAAAGTATGTATTAAAGCTTTCGATTAACCCTGATCATTCCTCTAGATTTGTTATGCTATCGCAAAATATTAATTTGGTGAAACTGAATATCGAATAAATAAATCGATTCGTTGAAATTTTCCAGCCAATTTTAATGCACAAAATCTGCGTGCACTCGAGAGTGTTATGTGCTCTCAAAACAAGCCTGTATCATATTTCATATCATAATTCCTTCTTCGTCATTTTTTCCCTCGAATTCGAAATTCAATTAATTATAGAGCATTGTCTGTCTGAAGGAGTCGATCGCGGTGCAACAGCTTATCAATTCACCCTCGACATAACCAACAAATAACATAACATTACTGTCTGAATGAAACTCGGCTTTGATTAAATCATTCGCGTCGGAGGATTCGTTTCAACGAATCTATTATCAACCATGCGCGTATCAAAAAAACAAATTGCACGTACGTACATCGTGAAAAAAAATCGTGAAGCGAAGCGAAGTGAAAAATCGATCGAACAAACGCAGAGCTTTTTTCGAAGTGAAAACGTCGCGCTTTCTTTTTAAGAGGGTTATTTTTACTTCGTCAAAAAGCGCCATGGAAACGATAGCTATTATATAGCTATATATTATAATATATAATAATATAATATAATATTAAATATATCGTTATATATTATAATATATCATTATATATTATATATCATTATATATTATATATCGTTATATTAATCGCTATTGTTATTATAGCTATTATTACTGTAACAAAGTTATTACTGTTTCATCGTACATCGTTCTATAACACGGGTGGCCCACAAAAAAGGCGCTAAATTTGCGCCATTCCATAAATAAAAAAATCACGCTTACCAGCGATCTTCCTCCGTTCTCCTGTGTCGCCCCGCATGCTCCTACGTTCGCAATGGAATCGCGGACGCCGGAGAAGCTGAAACTTGCTGCGAAACGAGAGAGAACGTCGCGGGGCTCGAAGCGCACGTAAGTTCGACGCGTCGATGTGTGTGTGTAACTCGCGAGCGGTATAATCGCTCAGGACTTCGATGATGTTCGCAATGTGATGGCAACAGACGGCTTATCAATTCACCCTCCGCGGCCGGGTTTGCGCGTAACATGTTATTACCGCCGGTTGCCGGTTAGTCCTGATTAATTCATTCGCCGCGGCGTTTCTTCCGGTGAATCCATTAGCGTTTCACGGTGTTGGAGCCGGGCTATTAGACACTTCCTAGTCCCGTTTTTTTTTTTTGCGAAATGTAAAATGTTTCTTCCTCCCTTGAGAGCCTGACGAACGAACTTAATTCCATACATCGGGGGGCGGCCGGCGAGCTCTCTGTTATTATGTTCGAGAAGGCAACGCCGGGGAAGGCAGTCGCCTTCGTTCGGTTCTTCGTGTCTTTTAACATGTACTGGCCGCTCGAGTCGACGGCCACCAAATCTCGGCGAGTCTTCTACAACGCTCTGAAGGCGGCCGCATTGCTCTGCACGATCGCGGTGTTTCTGCCGTTGTCTTACGCCGTTTACGTGAATCTGCTGCGGGACGACCCCGTCAATTTCACGAAAGCGGCCACCATGACGCTGGCCTGCGTTCACGTCGTCGGCCAGGCAGCTGTCAGCTTCTTTCAGCACGATCAATTACAGGTTAACTCTTCTGGTATTTCACTGAATTGCTTTTAACGACTTGTTTCGCGACCACGTCTGGGAGACGTGATCGGAAAATCGGGTCGGGAATGATTATGATGTTTGAGAGACGTGGTGAAAGAATCGGGCCAGAAATGATTATCACGTCTGGGAGACGTGGTCAAAGAATCGGGCCAAATATGATTATCATGTCTGAGAGACGTGGTCAGATAATCGTGCCAAAAGTGATTATCACGTCTGGGAGACGTGGTTATAAAATTGTGACAGGAATGATTATCGCGTCTGAGAGACGTGGTCAGATAATCGTGCCAAAGTGATTATCACGTCTGGGAGACGTGGTTATAAAATTGTGACAGAAATGATTATCGCGTCTGAGAGACGTGGTCAGATAATCGTGCCAAAAATGATTATCACGTCTGAAAGACGTGGTCAGATAATCGTGCCAAGAATGATTATCACGTCTGGGAGACGTGATCAAAAAATAACCTTGACATAACCTCGACGCGTGCTGCGATTTCTGTAATTGTTTAGAGCTTGTACGAAGATCAATCGATTTCGGTAAAATTTTTAACATGCATATAACTTACCGAAACAAAATTGTTTAAATTTTCGTTGTAGCATCAGATAAAAAAGTTAAAAACAAGAGTTTTCCATTCTTCTTTACAGCAAACGCGTGACCTTGTAATGATTCATTTTTCCGTCCCGCGTTCGCCTAAAGCTCGAGAAAACTGTTGCAGCGTCTGATCGAGGAAATGGTAGCGTACTTCCAAAACCTGAAGCCGTACGAGAAGGAGATATACCAGCGATACATCGACGATTATTGTCCGTTCTACGCGGTGTCCAGCATTTGGAACGCTTTGGCGGCGTTCTTCGTGATCGTCGGGGCATTGTTCACCGCGCAACCGTTCCCGATGATGGCGGAATACCCGTTTCCCGTCGATTACGAGCCCGTTAAATCCGTGATCTACCTGCAACACTCTTACGTCGCTGTACAATGCGTGAGCACTCTGAGCTCGAACATGATCGCCGCGCTGCTGATTTTGTTCGCGACCGGCAGATTCGAGATCTTGATGGTGGATCTTCGCGCCGCCGTCACCGTCGATCGCTTGAAGAGATGTATGGAACAGTGCCAGCTCGCCAGAAAGTAAGAACCGACAGGTTCTTATCAAAATTTCATCGAAATCGGTCGAGCTACAGTCACCGAAAGATATCAAACATAACCTGCTTTTGCTCGAAATTCGTGAAAAAAAAGAACTGTGATTCTCGCGGTCAATCGATTTCGATGAAATTTTCAACATAGATATAGGTTACCGTGAAAATTGTTCAAATTTTCGTTACATCGTTTTTTTAACTTTTTTTATCGTTCCAATCAATCGCAATCTAGACAACTTTTCATATACTCATTTCATAGAAAACTAGACGGACTAACGTCTCAAAAATATTCAAGTCCTTTGAAGCAATTTTGAAGAAGTTATTCCGTTTGAAACGGCGATAAGGTACTTTCCGAGGCGACTGTACATGTGTCGCGAGAATCAGGCGATAACGAGTATACTATATATAGAATAAGCGTCGCTGTTAAAATACTGGATCGAAAAGACGGTTTTATTTGATAATATTAACAATTTTGTTATTGTTAATATTATTTAATTAATTTATTATTATTTAGTTATTATTATTTAACTATACTATTTAACTATAGTTATTATTATTTAATTAATATTATTCTATTATTATTAATATTATTTATTATTATACGGTTTTATTTGATAAAATTAACAATTTTATTATTTAAATATAAATATTTACTTATTCGCTTAAGATTAATACGATGCACGCATAGTATCGAAAAGTGTCCTCGATAAAATATTGAAAGGACTGTTGGACAATATCCTTGCAGATACGCGGAAGACGTGATCGAAGGTGTTCAATACATAGCCATAATCACGTTGATCATTAGCAGCGGAAACCTCGTGCTTTCCGGGCTCAACGTTATCGGAGTAAGTACTCGGTGAAGCTAACCTATCCGCCCACGGATCACTGCGATACCGGAGAAAATGCTTTTTCTGTCTCGAACAGCGGCAACCAATCATGGTAAAAATTCAATCCATTTTTCTGGCCGGGTCAGCGCTGATTGAGGTTTACATGTGCGCCTGGCCAGCCGACGCTCTAATGGAAGTGGTGAGTCGTGCATTGAAAAAAACTCAATAGTCCAAAGTGCTGTTCTCTGTGTCTCGTATTATACCATCTACCACCTTCGCCGCAGCATCTTCCGTCGTTCATATTCATTCGCATCGTTCTTCGTCCCTTTAGAGTCTACAGGATGTCACAAAATTATTGTACAAGCGGGAAATGAGGGCTTCCTGAGGTCATTTGAAGTAACCTTTTCCTTGGTGAAAATGCGATCCGAGGCTTCGTTTACGAGTTATTAGCGAAAAACGGTAACCAATGAGAGGCGAGCTCGACTGACGCGAGGCGGCCGAGCCAATCAGCGGAACTGGGCCTCGAGCGCTCGTTGGCTCGGCGAGCTCGCCTAGCGCTAGACGGTCGAGCCAATCAGCGGAACTGGGCTTCGACCGCTAGTTGGCTCGGCCGCCACGCGCCAGCGCCAAGCTCGCCTCTCATTGGTCACTGTTTTTCGTTAGTAACTCGTAAACGAAGCCACGGATCGCATTTTCGCTGAGGAAAAAGTTACTTCAAATGACCTCAGGAATCCCTCATTTCCTGCTTGTACATTAATTTTGGGACACCCTGTACAGCGTGCTGCAGAATGTTAGTATCACCTCCCTTCCAAGCAATTTCGAATTTTCAACTAAAGTACAAGTTTAATCAGTGCTCGATTGATCGCGCTCGTGGATTAAAAATTAATGTTAACGTTTTATTTCGATCGGATGGAAATGTTTGTTTGTTTTCTGAATTTGCGTGTTAAGACTGTAGGCAATCGGAGAGGGCGGGTGATACTACAATTTTGCGAAGCAAATCCGTAGCTATTGGTAGTCTTGTAATTAATCGATTGAATCCCGTTGACAATCAGAGCGAGACCGCCGCCGAAAGCGTGTACAGGGCGAGCTGGTATAATCAAGATTTAAAGGTGCAAAAAACCGTGTTGCTAATGTTGGTACCGCAAAAGCCCATAGTGATTAGCTTGAGATTCGTGATGGTAGCACTTTCCTTGAACTACTATTGCTCGGTAGGATTTTATTCGATATTCTCTCACACACACAAACACACACAGACACGTAGAATTTTCTCTGGCAATTTTCAACGACTCTTCTGATTTTCCAGTATGTCTCGAACGCGTTCTCCTTGTTCACTGCGCTGCGAGTTGTGTTGAACGAGGAAGTCCATACGGTACCGTCGTCAACGAACACCACGTGCTGCATCAACTGAGCACGTAATCATCGTAGCCTTCGTATCTCCGCTAGAATCAAAATATTATGAAACAACGTCGTAACGGCTTCTCCGGTTTCGGAACGATATCGACTATGGAAACTCGAGTGTATAATACTCATTTGAAATAAAACACTTAACCGACCAGATCGAACATTCTCGTATGAATTTCAAGTTTTCGCGATTATTTATTTTTCTATGTTGACAATAAATTTGTTTTTGTGTATTTAAATCTTGTTCTATTTGGAATCATTGCAAAATCAGATTAAAACGGCAAAGAAAATAACGAACGACCCTAATCGTTTTTTTTTCTGGAAGAAATTGTGTTTCACAGAATGTTGCATAAAAATCAGAATTTTATAAAAGATCACGGGGACGGATATTATGGTAAGTAGAAAACGTTTTGAGAGGTGCTGTTTCTGGAGATTTTAAGAGAACTAACGTTCTTCTTTACTGTCATTAGATAACGAATAAATGATCGGTGTAAAACCGATAAATGAGTCGTTTATTTTGATAGTGGCATAAGTCACTTTGTTTTTAAGTCGATATATTTAAGGGTTTGCGTTTTAACACGTTTAAAAATATCGATGCTAACTTTCGAGAAGATTTACTTGTATTTGTTATCTCAGGATACTGATATTTTTCTCAGTATAAATAATTTCGTATAAACATTAAAAAATCACCACTTTTCATTACGGTAAAGTGACTTATGCCACTTTCAAAATGAACGGCTCAAATATGAAACAATCATTTTTTAATTCCCACCAAGTCTCGGTCGATCATCGTCCGTTTGAAGAGGACGCTGAAATCGGTCGCGAGCATTCAGTCGGTACGACAGTCGATGTGCCGGAATCGTCGGTAACGTCGCGCGTGACACGGAAATGGTAACGGAGCTAGAACGTAGTACTAAAAAAAATCGTAATCGGCGAAAAATGCGCGCGAAGGAAATACGTTGAATTAAATTTAAAGATATATTTGAAAGTTCCAACAACGACGTATGGTTTTAGCAGTGGCATTACCATAAATTTCGCAGATCCTACTCCGACCTCGATTTAAGAAATGAAAATGTGTTCAAAGAATTACTGGCATAATACTAGCTTTGCGATAATACTGCATATTGTTTAAGTCGATTAGGCAGTAATATGTCTCCAATGTCACAGAATATTATCGATTTCTGGTTGAACATAATCATTAATATGTACCATATTTATTCGAGGATAACGATCCAACAATTAAAGCTCTCGTAAAAGCTTTATAAGATTTTTTAAACGTTATCAAATCGAATAGAAATATAAAAATCTCCATGGTTATTGTTGTCTAATAAAATTGAAATGTGCCTAAAATGTCACTTGAACTTTAGTAACTTTCAAATTACTTGCGTCATTTAATTAATCTGTTGCTGAAATTAATATTATTAAGTTATAATATTATAAATTATTATTAATATTATATAATTATTATATTATTATATATTATTATATATTTTATTATTTATTTATTATATTATTATATTATAATAATTATTACTATATTATTATAAATATTAATTATTATTAATATTATAAAAATGAAATTAATATTATTAATAATATTACTAATAATTAATATTATTATTACACGTTCCAAAAATTGAGCAATATGTATACTCTACACCCGATATATTCCAAAAAATCCAAAAACAAATTTTCTTTACTACTAACCTTAAAACTCCGCTGCACATACATGTTCTCCTTGCGCGCGAATCAGATTAACAATGGCCAAAGTACTTCCTCATTAAACGGCTGCAACTATAAAAAGACCTAAGACTACACAAAGTTCGTCCGCATCTGCCAGCACACGTGGCCCCCGATCTACATATATAGCCGATAAGACATGTTTCAATAAAAGCGAGACATTGGCCCCAGGTGTAGGCTCTTCAAACTCCTTATTGACACTGCAATTTAACATTAACGACTACACAAATACTCTCGTTACTCAAGATTACATACACACAGCCAAACAAAAAACGTGCGAAACTAAACGGCTCACGTTACACTCCGGTGGCGCGCGGCCTGTTTTATTGGCACTTGTCGTTCAGAAGCCATTTGGAGAACATCAACATAATGAACGGTGCCAGGACACGTATTTCGGTGCAGACGCTCGCGAACAGCGCGGATAAGAGTGCGCCTTTGTTCGTTTAAAATGTGAAACGATCGAGCGTAGAAAAAAAGAAAAAGATAATTCACGATTTCACCTGTCATCAGATGCCTGTCAGTTTACAGCGACGGAAAAACCGACTAACTAACTAGCTTTCAGCGACGATCGCTATGCGCTATGCTCGATCAACCATAGGTCAAGATCGCCGGAGTTATCGGCCGAGAAGAGGGTTAAAATAATAATCTAGTACGAGCTGAAAGTGTTCTAATTGAGGCGGCGGAGACCTTAACGGGACGAAAATAGAGTGAATCGGCTCTCTAACGTATCTGCGTTGCGATAAGACCGGCGGCAAAACAACAATAAGGGTGGTGAAAGTAAATTCGCCGCCGTTGAAACGGTATCGATTCGCGCGTGTGTTTATCGGTTGCGTGTCGCGGCGTTCTATCCTGCCGAGACCGATCGCCGACTGTCAGGCTCGGCCGACGTAGGCTTTCGTAAACATAACAACGTGCACGCGTGTGTTCGGCATCGTCGCGTCGTATCGCGGAGCAAACGGACGGAACCGGACGGAAAGAACAACAATTGAAGGAAAACTGTTTAGTCGGCCACTCGATAGCGAATAACGACGCGGACGGAAAAAGGGAGCATGCGAAAACGATGGAACCCGAAGAAACCACTCGTCTTTTCTGTGGCAAACACGTCCACGAGGCCATTAGGATCAACGCGTGCAAACAAAAGCAATGGGGCACAGGTTTGTTCGATGTATCGCTGTCACTGCCATTGTCACTGTCACTGTCACTCTCGCTCTCACTGTTGCTGTCACTCTCGCTCTCTCTCTCGCTCTCTCTCTCTCACTGTTGCTCTCGCTCTCTCTCGCTCTCTCTCACTCTCTCTCTCGCTCTCGCGCGCGCTCTCTCTCTCTCTCTCTCTCTCTCTCTCTCTCTCTCTCTCTCTCTCACTCTCGCTCTCACTGTCACTACGCGATAACACCGAATCTATCCGCATCCGCGCCGATCGAGTGTCAACAGGCTGTTTCGGACATTTCCCAGATTCAAATTCGACCAATCACGGGAACAGTGTCTACGCATAATCCGTGCGCAGCGTGCATTTGTTTATGGTTCTAGAACACGCCAATAGATAGCGGAGATACATAAAAGTCGATAGATATTCGACCATTCGATCGATCGCGTGTGATCTCGTGCTTATACTCTCGGTTAGACTCTGTCGCACTAATTCACGTACGATTGGTAATATTCGCATATTTCCCCTATGTTTCCATTTTAATTCGACCATTCTTTCAGTTCACTTTGCGTTCGTATAAACTATGTTGTATTCACGTTGATTGTAGTTTGTATCGTGAATTTTACTTGTACTCTTGGACGTTTGAAATTGGAACGTTGCCCGATTAAAAGGTTAGACAAATTTTGCTGTTGAATTTGATACCACGATTGTATCCTTTTCATGTGCCTTTTTCCAATTCCCATTTTTCCGACCGTTCGAAAGTTTGAAAGTTAGTATATACAGGGTGTCCCAAATATGTCTCGCAATCCGAAAGTAGGGGATTCCTGAGGTGATTCGAAGCAACTTTTTCCTTAGCGAAAATGCGATCCGCGGCTCCGTTTACGAGTTATCAACGAAAAACAGTGACCAATCGGAGGCGAGATCGTTTGGCGCGAGACGGCCGAGCCAATGAGCGGAACCGGGCTCCGCGCGCTCGTTGGCTGGGTCGCCGCGCGCCAGCCGAGCTCGCCTGTTATTGGTCAGCGTTTTTCGTTGATAACTCGTGAACGAAGCCTCGGAGAAAATTTTCACAAAGGAGAAAGTTGCTTCGAACGATCTCGGGAACCTCCCATTTCCGAATTTCGTGACATCTTCGGGACACCCTGTGGATCGATTTACGTCTGATTTCAGAATCGATGAGGAACGATTTCCCGATCTACACTGTCGATCCCGCATGGATGAACGTTCGCCTGTTCGTGTTCTGGTTTTTATGGGCCATGTTGATAATAGTACTTGTCGCGTCGGTTTTATCTTACTGCTATCTCACGCCGCAGAAGGGCACAACGACGACCGACGAGATATTTATTTTGAACACTACGAACACGGTGAGTTATATTACCGAACACGATACACCGAGGAAACTCTAATTAATAAGATCTATTTGTTAAATAATGAAATCCGTTTACATTTCGATCGCGTTGTTACAGTAACTGTTCCAGACATCGAAACGGCACGGAATACCAAGCGATTCTATGCTATCCGTAATCTTAGCAAACAATTCTACACGTTAAAGGTGTTTGTGTTTAGGACGATAATGTTCGTCCGTGTGCTATCAGCACGGTAGAAGATAAGGCACCAGCTCTTATGTCGCGTCGAACAACGAGCCACGCGAATAAGAACATGTAATCGTAGTAGTCATGTAATCCTAGGCTATCGTAAGACGTTATATGTTTATAAGCGGCTACAACATAATACACAGATTATGTAAAATTAAATAGTATATGTATAGTATAATATAATAGTATATAATAGTATATAATAGTATAGTATATATATATTAATTAATAATATTAATAATAATTATAATATTATAATAATTTTAATAATAATATATTATTATATTATATATATAATATACATATATAAAATAGTATATAATATAATAGTATATGTATAGCGAATGTACTATAATCTATATAACAAAAACAAAAACAAAATAAACAGGAAACAGGTAACAACACGTTTTCTAGATCGAACTCGTTGTCTCGTTAATTGATTTTAAATATTCGCGCGACTCGCGAATTTTGCAACGTTAAACTTGCAGTTTGTGACGTACGTACGTAGGTATGTCGACATGCACGAACTGCTTAGTATGAAAAATCAGTCTGGCGAGGATAAAGAACGATTTAACGTGGCGTCGTATATTTACATTGATAATTTAATTACAGTGAAACTCGGTCCAATGTACCCTCGATTGGGATCTCTCTAGCAGATACGATCGATAATTCGCGCAAGATCGATTATCTCGCCGATCCAGGTTCGTACGTTGAATTTAAACGGTATTATTCAGTGCATTGCACTTTAAAGAGAAGTCACGCCCTTTTCGGTTCCACCGTGATCACAGCCGTTGCTTCGGGCCTCGTTGATACATCGTTAGCCGTGATTTTCGTTCTAATCGTCTAACAATCGGCGCCAGACGTGCGTTTAACAATCGTAAACGCGGACGCGCTGGGTGGCCGAAGAAACATTTGCCGCTGATGTGTCTGCCCGGTGCGACTGACCCATTCGTCGTTTGAATCGATTCAACCGAAATCAGAGCAAATGTCAGCTGTGGACCGCTGCGCGGCGGTACCCCGGTCCAAAACTATTTTCTTTGTCCTCCTATTAGCATTCCATTATTTCGCTCGAACGGCGTTCCCTTTGTTCCGGAAGCTGCGTAAATAGTTCTAAATTGAGACCTCTGTTAATCCAATCTACCATTGTAAGAACATCGCTGTAGCAAACTCCGGGAACAACTGATTCGTAACGTCTTCTGGAAATCGTGAAATCGTGTCGATGGATTTTCGCAGATATCTAAAAATTATTTGCTGGATTACATTAAAGATTGCATACTCTAAATAGTTTATGAATATTTATTTTCCAACATCTGTTCGATAGCCGCGCGCATACGACTCGTACTGGAACAATAAATAAGTTTTTCTTCAATCTGGCAATTTAAATTGAAAAATTTGACTTTGCATGTCTGCTATTTACCCGACGAGCGTTCACTGTGGCCGTAAAAATCTGTAACTTGATCGGACAGGGCCCTGAAGAGGCAGAACCTTTTAGGGACAAGGGTCGGCCCTGATAGCGATCTCGTTCGGTGTGCTTGTGGTGGTAAAAGTGAATACACACACGTACGTACATACATAGGTCCAGGACAAAAGGGGGCCGAGGGAGCCAACCAGCTAACACGGAGGGTTAAAACGCGTTCGCTTGGTCATTCTTGTTGCTGGAACGCCGAGGAACGGTGGCCGCAGGGTTTCCCTTACGAATCTCCTCCGGGAAAAGAGAAAGGATTTCCTTCGATTCCGATCACAACCCCGTTGCGTAAACGCGACGCTTTTGAATACGTCCTTGGGACACCGTTCCGTGTACCGTAGAACGCCCGGCAATGGAGAGTGGGAGGTTGGATTTAGATAGTGCCGAGGCGAACGGTGTCGCGAAAGAAGCGGCAGTTGTTGCCACGTACAAGGCGCTTCCGGACGAGGACAAGCGCGAACCGCCGAAAGAGAACACCATGGGGAAGCCGAACAACGAGACCGAGATCAACGATGGGGCCCACGAGAAGATGCTCAAGGAGGAGAACAAAGTCGCCCCGACGAAAGACACGACCGAGGTACGTTCGAATAATTTCAGCACGTTTTATGGCCGACCGTTGCCTAGGCTGTGCGCCGTCGGACCGCAACGAAACGTTGCGTTATTATTACCCCGACATAAATAAAACCAATCTCACCGGGTTCGCGATTACTTTCGGATTTGTTTGTTCGCGCGATACCATCGAAGGATGTCTTTTGTTTCGAACGCACTTTGCTCCCATTCTCGAACGATCAACTGTCGTTCGTCGCGGCAACGTGAGATCGATAACCCTCGAGACGGTCTCGAATTACTTTACTAATGCTTTTGTCGCGGATTTTTATGGGCGTGCTCAGATTATGGTGATAGAACGAATATGTTCTTGCTCGGAGGCAACAGTTTCCTCCTGTTGCATCATCTTTCGTGCGGAGAAACAATCTTGAGGAAAAGAGGTTTGTCACTCGGGGTCAAGCCGTTGATACGTTAACGATTAAATAAACACGTGTACAGTAATTCGATGCTTTGTTACTGTTCGAAAATAAGAACAAATTTTCGTGGTCGAAAAAAAAAAATATATATATATATTAATAATATAATATATATAATATATATATATATTATTTATCCTAATTTGTTGCTTTTACGAATAGGTGAAATTTATTTCCGAGAATGGGGACACCAAAATTGATATCGAGACGGTCAAGCAAGCTCTGTCTGGAATGGGCAAAGAGGAGTTAATGAAATTTGCTAATGATCCATTTTGGGTTCGGTTGAGATGGTTTTTGTTCATCACCTTTTGGCTGCTGTGGGCTTCTATGTTGGTGGGTGCCATAGCCATTGTAGTGATGGCTCCAAAATGTTCAGCACCCAAACCGAAAGAATGGTGGGAGAAGAGTCCTATCGTCCAGCTCGATCCGACAGAGACTAGCACGCGCAATTTGAAAGGAGTGGAAGCTCTGTTGGATACGTTGAAAGCGCAACATATAGATGCAATTTCTCTTGCATCGATCGTTAAAGGAAGCACGACGGGTATGCTTTCTTAGAGAGCATCGCTCTTTAAGCGTATGCGATAGAAAATACTAAATGCATTGTGTAATTTAAATTGCAGAAGGACCGGAAGATTTTATGGATATTAATCCACAAGTGGGAACTGTCGGCGACTTAGAAACTCTAACAAAGGCTGCGAAAGAGCGAGACCAATACATCATTTTGGAATTGGATCCCACTCACACGTCGACCGAACATCCATGGTTTACGAGCTCTCTTGCAAAAGAAGATCCGTTCACATCCTATTATGTTTGGGCCGATGGAAAAACTACATCAGATGGCAGACGTAATCCACCTAATAATTGGGTTAGTCGTTAGCCTTTTTCTCATACAATTTTTAATAAAACATCACGAATGTTTTTTTTAACAATATATTCAATTTTTAGTTGAGCGTATTTGGAGGATCTGCTTGGGAATGGAACGACCAAAGGGGACAATATTATCTGCATCAGTTTAATAGCACCCAACCTGCATTAAATTACAATAATCCAACCGTAGTTACTGAATTTGCTGTAAGTTAATTTTTTCCTTGATTTATTACATACATATATATTGTATATATATATATGTTATGTAACGCAAATTAATGTATATTTTATATTATAGAATTTATATAGTATATTTTATATTATATTGTAGAATGTTCTGACTCACTGGCTGAAATTGGGAGTCAGCGGTTTCCGATTAGCTAATACTCAATACTTGACTATACAACCAGAACTTCATGACGAGTATAGAAGTACTACACTCACTGCTGTAGATAATTATGATTCGTTAGTACATGTTCACACAAGAGATCGTACGGAGAACGCTGCGATCTTTTCACAATGGCGAGAAAGGGTTTTCAATGAAACCGATAATAAAGGGTCAGTAATTTGAATAGCAATTGCGTGTTGCACGTATCCGAATGGCTCATTTTCTGGTTATTATAAATTATTTTCATTTCTAGGTTGTTTGCTCTTCAAGACGACATTGGAACCAATATTTTACAGGTTTACAATGAGAAGAAAAGACTGATCCATATCCCACAAAACTCACAGTTCCTGATCACAGCTAACGATAGCATAAATTCCACAACATTGCGTAAAGGTATCTCGCAGTGGCTGAATGTGACTTCATGGCCTGGTTGGGATGTAAGTTTCTGTAACATTTATCGACAAGACGCTAATCGAGGCTTTCGATCTGTAATTTTTATACGCATTTCAGCTAAACGGTAAAAAGAGTACTTTGAGGCAGAGAATGCATCCAGACATAGCAGACAGCATAACGCTCATGACTTTACTTTTACCTGGTACTCCAATCCTCACGTTAAATGATACCCTATCAGCGAAGGATGCATTTGCAACTTTAGCCAAAGAACGCGAGAGCGCAACATTCCTTTATGGAGACAAGATGTTTTTGACTGTCAATAAAACTGTGTTCGTTTACACAAGGTAACATAGTAGATTTGGCATTCGATAATTTGTTAACTTGTACACTACATTTTCTGTGTGGTTTAATCATGAAAAGTAACACGATCTAAACCTCCGTTGATTGTATTAAATGTTTCCAAAAAGTAGAAGTGGTTAACCGAACGTAGATTTCAGTTACCAAAACGTATCGTACAATTTACTAACCAAATTTGTTGGGTGGATTATTAATACTGATATAATTTAATTTAAAACTAACAAATATATTATGTAATTTACTAACCATTAATTTACCTTGTTTCACGCTATCTTCTATAACTACGCAGGAGCTGGTGAGTCCTAACTTACTAACATATTGCATGCACAATCTATCTTTTGTAGAAATAACTAAATAATAATCTCCGTTTCTTTTTTTTTGGTCGGATATATATAGATTAGTTGCTCAAATCGCTTTCCTTCTCTGTTAAATTTCAATAGAACCGAATTAACATTCACAATTGAACACGCAGGTTGAAGAGCGGCAACCCTGGCTATTTGGTAGCATATCAAACAGCAGAGGAATCAATTGTAGTGGATTTGTCCACGTTACCGCAAGTTTCAAGCGAAGTTAGTGTCGTAGCACACAGTCCTAATTACGTGCAGGACGGTGATACAATAAGGTAAATTACTTTCGCCAATCGTAGTCAATATTAAATGTTCACGAAACAGTTGTTATATGACACACAATTTTCTTGTATTTCAGAACAAAGTTGTCCTCTAATAAGGTTCCTATATCCGCGAAGAGCACCGTTGTCTTAACGTTCGTTCCGAAAAAATAAGTTCGTCGTGACACAATCAATCACTCATATGTACGAAGCATAATCGTTTGCTTATTGTGTCGTGTAACAACATTTATTAAACTCAATCATGTATTCGTTTCGCCAATTGCAAGTGTGTAATTAAATATGAATGTAGCAAGAACGTGTGTTGTCACAATTTACCCATATTACCCCGTCTGTTCTAGAGTATTACATATTACATATTATATGTACATCTTAGAAGAATTTTTTAAATTATAAGTCATTAAGGAAAATATGATTTTTATTAGCTATAATCAGTACAAATTAATTTAAGTTACGAGAGATATCCGGTTTAGAATGTGAAAAATAAAAATATTTTATACAAAATGATGCAGGACGAAGAGCGTATTGTTTTTCTAAACAAAAAGGGTTTAATAAATTTCATGTCGACTAGTTTCTAATATACCAATGTAGGATTTCGATGAATTTTAATATGTTGTTCAGTTTAGTTTCCGAGATATTCGCGAAAAAGCTACTGCTGCTACTACTACATGGAATTTCTGTGTACATACGTGGCTGTGACGGCGTGTGTGGGTCAGCATTGGTCTGGCGCGCGTGTACTGTCTCTTGCGACCTCCGGTAAGCTATCTACATATACATATATAACCGGGAAAATTAAATGCTGATACATACGTCGTCGCCGTATAGTAGTAGCAGTAGTTTTTCGCGAATATCTCGAAAACTGAGGGTTTCCTCTAATTATGCCTAAAGAAAAAGTTCAGAATCATACTCCCTATAATATATTGAAAAATCATCAAAATCATTCTCTGTTGGTATATTAGACATGCCCCTTCATGTCAGTTTTTGCGGATCCGTAAACCTAACTGTGAGAATATAAAATAGCGCGGGCAAAGGAACTAACGCGATCATCGCTGGATGAATGCTGATGCCACACTGTGTTGCAACAGCAATGATACCGTACGCATGTATGAGCCAATGACCCAGGATAACTATCACGTTCTTCAAATTCGTTATGGAACTCAATAATAATGATTTCATTGTCTAAAACGAAAAAATACAACGAATGAAACTTGTGGATTAAAATATCCTCTTAACCATAAATAAATTTCGAAGGCCTTACCTGATCTAATTTAAATGCAAAGTGCGCTGCATTGGATAATACTGATAATATTATTGTTATGTACGGAAATGAGTAATCTGTAAAGAAATCAATAATGTACAAAAATTTGTATTATCTTCTATAGTAGCCAATATATTTAACTTACATATTAGGCCACCACCAATTGCATGCAACAATGCTAGAACTGGGTAAAAGTATAGAGCAGCATAAATAGAAAACTTCCCATTGACTGGTAAAACTTTCCTAGCTATCAGTGGCCTTATCAGCAACATGATAGCTACTCCTAAAGCGTAACAAATGAAAACCATAGTATACCTGAAAATTAAAGTAATTGATAAATCAGCATGGAAAAAAGAGTATTTCGTAATTTTATGATCTTTTCGGTACTGACAAGGGATACACAGCCTCTTGCGTACAATGCAGAGATTCTTCATAGTCTGGACTAGGATTATGGAACAACGTATACCAGTCTGAAAGTTTGGTAGTTCTACATGATATGATCTTGAAGGTGCCTATAGGTTCGGACAGTTGCACCGTAATGATAGACGCAGCGACAACCTCGAATAAAGCGGACAGATGCAGCGCAGTCACTTCCTTGGGTATATTGTGCCTCATCGATTTATTATCGATACAAAACCAATGTAACACCAAGGGCAACAATGCCATAAACCCAAGGTAGAGCCAGTCATAAAATATAGGCTCGTCGTTGCAAGGCACGCAGATCGAAGATGCATTTACCCTGAAACCGTTAGGGCATGCACCGCAATCTGTCCAGTTTCCATCGGGTAATAGTTCTCTACCACAGTATAACCCAGGGCATGCGCTCAAAATATTTCCTTTTGATAGTGAACACATGGAGACTTAAAACGAACAGAGTGTCTGTAAATATTTCTTGTACTTGTCCTTTCAACTTGTGCTACTGGTCACAAACATTGTTTCAAATGTCAATATAGTAAATAGTTTAAGGTTAGACGCAAAGGATAACAAACACAGTAGCTTCACATGATAGCAGCTTCACGTGATAAACGTTCAAATCGATTTGTTTAATCTGACAGATTATTAGAGTTTACGGAAACGCTTTATTTCTAATGTTTCGTAGATCGTTTTAACAAATGGGTTATAAACTTTGAAGTATGCAACGTCATCTTATGATTGGTTGAACAAATACTAGATAAATCGTACATCGGTGAAGTATTAAGTTTTGCGTTAATTGTCATTTGTACGTTGTGTTGTTTAAGCTACGGGACAATCACCGAACTGAAAAAGAAAAAAAAAACATTTATTCTACGAAATTGTAATTGCATAGTTATTCGCAGATTGATATTTTCGTTTGATATATTATCGAAAAAATGTATCGATAAACCAGATGCTGTAATTGTATTATATGCGATTTTTCTATCAACTTGAGATGTAGGTCAACATTTTTGAACAGGTAAGAGTTCGCATTTGGTATTGACTTTAATAATTTGTTTTATCCAGTTTTTAGGACTGGGTGTTGCATAAACATCCGGATTTCCGGAACCTAGTTATTCGAAACATACAAGTTGGATACATTGTTTGAGATATTCATTGATTATGAAACACCCTATATTCAACTACCTTAAGGCTCGTTCGTAATAATAAAATAATAATAATTCGAAGAAAATACTACGAAAATACTACAATACTACAAATTTAAAAATATCAATCTATTTCAATATTACATTATAGAAATTCGCATCGCTTCATCCTGAATCGCTAAAATTCGTCCGTCCGTTATCTCGACGGTGTGTTATCAATATATCGAACGATCGATGACATTTCGATATACTATCTGGGAGAGTCGATAGCAACGGAGCAACAAACACTAGGTCCTAGTGGAAAAAAGGGACGGCGCAACATGGCGGAGAGGGTAAAGATGCGGGTAAAGATCACGGACTATAACCATAGTCCGTGGTAAAGATTCGTAAAGTGGCGCGACCTAGACGGTTCGTGCTTGCTCGTGTTCGATCGGGAATCTCCGGCCGAAGATTGCCGAGCGCACATTACTATTTTCAGGCACACAAGGCACCTCTTGACGGGTTTTCAATAAGTGAAGAGGGCGACGGTGCGAGGGACCTGGTTTTTTTTCCTTTTTCCATTGAAATTTTCGGTGCGGTGGATGCTGAAATTGTAGTGGGCCGTGGGTGCGCACGCGATAAAAAACCGTACGATGCTCGTGGAAATACCGTCGCGAGTTGACGCGTAACAGTCTGGTCGGTCGGTTCCGGCAAAAATGAAAGAAGCTCGTCGGTCCGAGCAGCTGATGGCGGCCGAGTGCTGTTCGAGCCTCTGTGTCGTCCCCCATCACGGCGTTTAAGTGAGTGTGTGCGATCGGCTGCGCGTACGGAGTGCGGCTACCTCGTGCGGTACGAGAAAAAGATAATCCTGGTGGAAGATAGATTTTACGCGGCGAGAGGACCGCCTCCTAGACGGGTCTACCGAGCTATTTCGTAACGGTGCTTCTTCTCTCGCGCGACTCCTCGGAATCCGACACGCAGGCAGGCAGACAGGCAAACAAGCAAGAAAGCAAGCAAGCGAGCGAGCAAGCAAGCAAGGAAGGCAGACAAGCAGTTAGGCAGGCAGGCAGCAGGCACGACACGGTAAGCCTGCTCTACACACAGCCGTTTTCTACTCTACGCCACCCGTGAATCGAATATACGTAAAAATCGAGGGACCGAGGCGGGTACGACGTATCATCACCGGTGTCGGTTTCAGGTGACGCGTAATCCACAGTACGACCAGCGAGAAGAGACACGGTGTACCGCTTCTCTGTGCTACACGGTGTAGGTGGGAGCATTCGACGTACGACGACGGGGCGTGCGTTCGCGTGTGACAACGCCTAACAAGCGATCGCGCCCCTTTGCTCGCAGACCCGATACACAACGACGTGTGCCGGCCGCAATTACTTTACGAATTTTTGTTCTCGGACTCGTCGTGAACTTGATGGATCTCGTCGATTGAGCAAGTCACCCTCCCCCCAGACACACAACTAACACGTTGTCCCCGTTAGACACGGATAAATATCCTCCTCGTGCTATGCACGCACGACCATTAAGTTTCACACCTCTCTGGCTCAGGAACGTCTGAACAGTAGGTTAAACGTGTCCTGGGATACCACACACCGATCTCAACTCGGTTCTCGAAAAACTCGTGCAGTATCGCTTTGTCCCCATTGTGACTGTAGTGAGTTCATCCTCTTCTACGCGGAATGCGGCCTCCTCGGGGTGGATTCAACCCTCTTTAGTCGCGTCCAGCGCCGGTAAAGGGCAGCAGAGGCTGGAACGTATATCCAACGTTCAACTTCCCTCCAGCTCTCACGGTGCCTCTGCTAATACCAACATGTCGACTGGGACCATCGTGGACCTGATAGATCCCTTCACCAAGAAATCTCACAAGAAGAAGTCCAAGAAGTCGCAGGGATCATCGCGCTACCGTAACTCTCAGGATGTTGAACTACAGCAGTTACCGCAGCTCAAAGGTTAGTCACCGATCACCATGTTCTGTTTCGCCTGGGGTTCACTGGTACGTGCATCTTTGTAATGTCATCGAAATGGAATCGTCGATACGGATACAACAGTTTCTAGAACTCTTCGATCGTTCAACTTGCGTGCTCGAACGAGTTTGACTGATTTCGGAGTACAAGTCTTGTATTGTCGTATAAATTGCTGCTACGGCATCATCGTGTTAAAGATAAACAGCTCTCTACTAAGATGCACGTACGCTAGAATCTCAATGGCAATTGGCAACGTGTCTGTCGTTCTAATATTAAGGAATTATTATATATAGATCAAGCGGTATTGCATCTAAATGGTAAACAAAGTTACCATTCGATGTGCCATTGATTTCAACACGCGCATACCACTCTGATTCTTTCTTTTCTATGCAATTGCAACTGTTTCAAATAATTACATCATCGGGCAATTGTACAATGAAACGACGGCAAGATAATTTACTTCCATTAAAATGGTTCTATAATTTCTGATCAGAGACTTGCTCAGCAAGACTGGGTCTCTCATACTTGAAACCAAGTCTGTAGAATCCGTTGGATTCACGAAGTTTTATTAGCAGTCTTTATTACGTAATATCGAGGCGATACGCGTAGATAATATTAATCTGATATTGTTGTAACCGATACATTCGATTGCTCGATACCACGGATGCCCGAAACCTCTGCCGAAGCTAACCTCAAAATTTTCGGGGATAAGGTGGTAACCGTTCGTAAACCGAAACCGAAAGTTTGTTTCGCATTTCTGTTCGAAACGACAGAGACGTACGTACGATATACGAGCAGAAAGCTTATTTCGTTGAACGTTTTAAAGCGGTAACTTTCCGCTATGTGAACACCGTTCGGTGTATGTTCGTGTATTGACGTACGTTCTGAAAATCGATGAGGAGTAGCAAAGCAGAGGTCAGTTCACGTTACTCGACCGATTTTCCTTCGGACAGAAATTTCGAACTGTTTGCCACGAATTTCGAATGTCGTATAATCTGAAATACACGATTTCGCGAATGACGTCTGTAAAAAAAAAAGAAGAAGAAAGAATGCAAATTCGAAAAATATTTTCGTTCGATAGACGGCGACACACACATTGCATAATTCGGAGAATCGAAGACCGAAAAATCTACATTTCGTCGCTTGCAAATTTCTTGTCGCGCCATGTGCGAGTCACCTTACGTCACGTATTTTTATCGCTCGCTCGGGTATTCTGTTTGTCGATTCCGTAAAACCCTGCACGACGATGACGGGACGCGACACCGTTTGTGTGTGGTTAGCTAGAAAATCAGATTAGCTGCGAATTCTGATTCTCTCTCTTTCTCTCTCTCTCTCTCTTTCTCTCNGTAAACCGAAACCGAAAGTTTGTTTCGCATTTCTGTTCGAAACGACAGAGACGTACGTACGATATACGAGCAGAAAGCTTATTTCGTTGAACGTTTTAAAGCGGTAACTTTCCGCTATGTGAACACCGTTCGGTGTATGTTCGTGTATTGACGTACGTTCTGAAAATCGATGAGGAGTAGCAAAGCAGAGGTCAGTTCACGTTACTCGACCGATTTTCCTTCGGACAGAAATTTCGAACTGTTTGCCACGAATTTCGAATGTCGTATAATCTGAAATACACGATTTCGCGAATGACGTCTGTAAAAAAAAAAGAAGAAGAAAGAATGCAAATTCGAAAAATATTTTCGTTCGATAGACGGCGACACACACATTGCATAATTCGGAGAATCGAAGACCGAAAAATCTACATTTCGTCGCTTGCAAATTTCTTGTCGCGCCATGTGCGAGTCACCTTACGTCACGTATTTTTATCGCTCGCTCGGGTATTCTGTTTGTCGATTCCGTAAAACCCTGCACGACGATGACGGGACGCGACACCGTTTGTGTGTGGTTAGCTAGAAAATCAGATTAGCTGCGAATTCTGATTCTCTCTCTTTCTCTCTCTCTCTCTCTTTCTCTCTCTCTCTCTCTTTCTCTCTCTCTCTCTCTCTCTCTCTCTCTCTCCTCGTGTTGATTAGGCCGTTCCCCTGCTGCTCGTCCTTCGAATCGCTCTTACATAACCTGTACAAGCTTATTAGCTTTTACAGTCGGACGTCACGTACGGCATAGACTGTTGATCTATAAAAACGACTCCGTTGCCTGCTGCACACGCTCGTCGGGCCCCGCGATTTCGAAACGGAAAAATTTCAAGCGTCGCCTACGAATTGCTCGGGGCGCAATTATCGGATAAATAAAACCAATTCGAAGCGGTTTATTTCACAATAGAATGTATACAACCACCAGCAACACCGACGCGAGAGTATTCGACTCTCGAAAACAGCCGATGTCGGGTCTCCGTACTAGACTTTTTTATTATCGAGTGCTGAATATTAATAAGAAAGAGGAGAGGAGACGTCTGAAAATTAAATACCACATCCTACCGACAGGTTTTCGTTGACATCGATACGGGAATGTCTCTCGACGCGTTGACTACCAAATCAGCGATCGTAAAACTAATACCAAATTAAAGTTGTTCGCGATGGGCGAACGATTATGTGATACGTACACGAGTCACGTGGTGGTCAACGTGCGAAGGAAAAAGAAGACGAAACTATCTATAAAGGTGTGCGGAAACAGAAATTCTCCAAAAATTTTACACACAACATTTCTGTGTCATCGTTGTCCGCACGCGATTGATAGAACAAGATGATAAGATTGTCGCGGAGTTCGGCGGTGTGCAACGTTGCGTCGAGTCGGCCGTCTGTGTATAAACACGCATTGATCAAAAGTGACCCGGCATTGGCTGAGCGAGGGTTAATTCTCAACGGCGTATAGCCTCGGTTACTTCGTCATATCTAGGAACAACCCGGAGGGAAGCCGCACTATTTTCGCGCGAGAGGTATACTTGAAAACAGTATATAGTGACCCATAAACTTGCGGTGCGTTTCAACGAGCAGCGGTTATGCGAAATATACAGGCATCCACCTTGCAGTAGGCAGTGTCGTTCACCTCTGCCAATAAAACAGCAGTAGTCCTTAGTCTCTCTCTCTCTCTCTCTCTCTCTCTCTCTCTCTCTCTCTGCGCCTCTCTCGCTCGTTCGCTCTCGCGCTCTGTCTCCACTGCTTCTCTCTCTCCCTCTCCCGCCCTCCTTTTCCTCTCGCACTTGTTTCCTGTCTCCTCGCTCCTCGCCGCTACGTTTAGTCTCCCGACCGTCTCTTTCTCGTACGTCGTTGCGTACATAACCTATACGCACGTGTGTTTCCCTCTCGGGTGTCGTGCACGCGGTTTCACGATATCGTCGCACGATGCCAGGCGTTTCATTAACCGGGTAAATATCCCGTTAATTCATTAGATATAATTGGTTTCCCAAATAGGAAGCGCTCTTCTATACGCGATCTTATTCCGGTATTTTCTGTCGCTGTAAAGTGAGGTTAAACAACCTTTTGTTTATCAATCGTCGACCAAGGATAACAGCAGAGTATACATAGAACGACCAATGAACTAAGTATTCCTTTCAATAGTAATGGCGTGTGAACAAAATGAATGAATGAATTTTCGATTATTCGTGGCCAGGCGTATTCAAATTTCCCGCACCTCGACGAACTATCGAGAAACTGTCGTAGATCAATAGAAGTAGAAAATAATTTTTTAAAGAGAACGTCCAAACGCGACAGAAGTAAACTCGCGGCCATAAACTACGGGAAATCTTTGTTTCTTACGTGATCTGGAAAAGTCAAGAACGTACCGCAAAATTTGAAGGTTAAATTTGAAACGGCTGGGTGACTTTCTCGGCTGACAAATTCTCGGACGGGCCTCGCCGCGCGTCTCTCCGTTTGTCTTTTTATTAATTCAGAATTATACGTGTCGCGGCAGAACGTTGTGCGCTACGTGGTACAGCCGTAATGCCGCCTAGTAGTGTGTAGTAGGTATAGCGTCGTTCGCGTAGGGGTAAGCCGGGTCTCATGCGGGATTTATGTACTGCATAGAGTCTGCGGTACAAGACCGTGGCAGGGAAATGTGTTTCGGTCCGGTTAGGCGGCTCGGGGGAGACTCTCGGTGCCGGGCGATTGCTGTGCTTTAGAGGATCTTCAGAAAGATGGCATTCTGCCGGTGGTAGTCGGCGAACATTCCGCCGCGGACCTATACCTAGAACAGCCGCTGACTACCCGAAATCGTTTACGGTGACAGTTTCGAACCGATTCGAATTTTAAATTCTTCTTTTCTCTCCGTCCGTCTGTCATGGAAACTCCGTAGCGGGATCCGTAAGGCAGTTTTACGGCATTTTAACGTAGAAAGGGACGTTATTTAAGGGGGTGGGGGTATGAGAACTCTTTTTAGTCCGTTAGACCTTGGACCTCCATTTTTTTAGGACTTCTTTCGCGATTCTTGTACAAGGGGACAAATGATTATTTTGCATCGTTCTTTGCAGATGCTACTTCTACCAAGTTGATTGTGCCTCTGATATACAGGGTGTACAAAAATGTCTCGCAATCCGGAAATGGTGGATTCCTTAGGTTATTTGGAGTAACTTCTTCCTTAGCGAAAATGCAAACCGCGGCTTCGTTCACGAGTTATTAATGGAGAACGCCGACCAATAAGAAGCGAGATCTGCTGACGCGAGGCGGCCGAGCCGACGAGCGCGCGAAGCCCAGCTCCCCGCTCATTGGCTCGGCCGTCTCGCGCCAGCAGATCTCGCCTCTCATTGGTCGCTGTTTGTTCGTTTAATAACTCGTTAACGGTGCCTCGGAGGAGATTTTTGTAAAGGAAAAAGTTACTTCAAATGATCCGAGGAACCAGCCAGACATTTTTTAGATACCCTGTATTGATTATGGCATTCTCGACAAAAATCCCGAAATCATTCTCTACGAAGAATCGTTCGCAATTTGATTTCCAATTGATTGGATACTTGTTCCAATAGACAGCTCTCGACTGCCGGAACAAAACAAATACGATTGTTGTTCACGTTTATAAAACTTTGTTCGATGGGTTTGCCTGCTCGA